AATATCTATCTCCAGGATCGGGCTATTGCCAGATGTTTGCGGTTCAGAGAATATTTCGTATGGCGGATCGTATAGACATCTTTAGCCTACGTATATTAGTGTTTAAAAATTCTGTTGATCACGTAATATGTTTCAATACAAGTTCTATCTAATAATTTCATGAAGAAATTTATGCTTGGCGTAGTTATTCTGGCATTTTCGACAGAATCTGGCCTTTGACTTTTGTGAATGGATCTAAGACGTCGGAGTTGTTTAGGGTCAATGACCTTTCCGTAGGCGGAGTTTTTGATATTTACCTGTATGGATGATGACGTAATGAAGAAAAATGCCCACATGGTTGCGACTGCTTTAGATATTCCTAAAGTCAGCGTAATAATCAAGATAACTGCGTTAACCAAGAAAGACTGAGAATTTCTTATTATTATTACTGCTACGCAGAATTACATGTTTTTCATGTGAATTGTCAGTTACTGTTATCTGATCTTAAGCATGTTGCAATACATCCATAAATTTTAGTAAAAGCCTAGTGTAACATTTCATGAAAATCCGTTCAGCGTTTCTGGACCTGTTACGTGACTACCGACGGACAGACGGGCAGGTACAGGGATCATAATAGGTGCATTATTCTGAACGCTCACAAAAATAAGTGTTTGCAAACAATTATGACGTAGATTCAGTCAGGAGTCAACGAAGTGTGCAATTTGTTAGAAAGTCCTGTAATGCAATATCACGTGGCCACCTGGGGTCCTGAAGATGAGGTTCCACCTCCTCGTCGTGTTCTTTAGCACAATGATATCAACAGAGGCGAATCGCTTTCATGCAGACATCGAATACGGGCGTTTACTTAATACTCACAAAGTCCTTGTAAGATATCACCAAGTGTCAGGTTTCAGAACCTAAAGATTCAGACCGCTATTACAGAAGTCATCCACTGAATTCAATCCCACAACCCATTCTCTCGGCATCACCCTGACATCTTTTCTTAACCCTGCGCCTTCTAAATGACACGAGTTCCCAGACCTCCGGACACAACGGATTTGCTCAGCGCCACCGACTGTCAGCACGAGGAATATTAATGAATGCTGTAATGAGCATCAATTATACACAGCATGTATACGACTATCTTCTGGGATGTTGTATTGAACGACAGTTTAGATGAGCTTATTGTCTCCATCATCAGGGTAGCAACAGAGGAAGCAGGCAGTCTCGGTCAGTATCTGCAAGACTACACGATGTAACGTCCAGACTCATCACCGTCAGAACACGAAATCAAAACTATACAATGCATGTAATAAGAAGGCAAGCAAATAATTAAAGACCATTATGTTGTAAGTTTAGAAAGGATAACACATAATATATCAATATTGTTGAAGATTTCTGTCTTCTGGGTTGTTTCAATGAATCACCCTGATGACGGAGGCAGTATGACCTCTGAAACTTTGGTTAACATCGACCAGACTACACAGCGCAACAACCCAGAAGACAGAAATCTTCATACTCTGATGACGGAGGCAGTATGACCTCTGAAACGTTGGTTAACATCGACCAGACTACACAGCGCAACAACCCAGAAGACAGAAATCTTCATACTC